AAGACAAGGGAGACCGGAATGGCCATTTCTGGCTTATTAGCCGTCATCAGCCAGTCATACCCAACCCCAAGTGTGGATCACTTGGTATTACCTTTCAAACATATATCACTAGTCGCTGTGCGACTGCCTGCGAGGGTTTAAGTATGAGCCCCAAGGCACAACGGAACGAGCATGTTCCGTAACATGATCGGTGAGCGCCCACTATCATAATATGTATATATATATATATATATATATATATATAAATCTCAAAAATTAATCAGTGCAGGAATTGGAGATAAATAACCGGAACATGACTTTATAGAATCAAAACCGAAATTTCAATGAAAATTTGAGTCGAAGACAATCAACTACTGTGGAATAACCACGTAATGCCCATTGTACAAACAAGTAGTATTACGAGCAGTATAAAATCCATATAGTAAAGGTATTATACCGTACACCCGACGCAGATACTTGCTAAAAGCCCAGACACGTGTTTCGCCGATATTCTGCCGCTGCGTGACACAGCTGCGAGGGGTTCGGCTCTTCAGTGGGACCCCCAGCGTTCTCTAGCGGTTTCTGGTATATGAACTCCAGAGAATAATCAAGCGAATAATTTCAGAAATTAATCAGTGCCGGACATGGAGTAAAGCCTCCGGCAAATGAAGTTTTAGGGTCTGAACAGATATTTCAACAAACATTTGAGTCGAAGTCGAAAACCTACTGTGGAATAACCGCGTAATGACTATTCAAAAAACAAGAAGTATTACGAAAATAATGAACTCCTTATAGTAAAAGTCTTATGACATCGTCCCTAAGTAGATACTTGCTAAAAGCCCAGACACGGGTTTCGTCGATATTCTGCCGCTGCGTGACACAGCTGCGTGGGGTTCGGCTCTTCAGTGGGACCCGCAGAGTTCTCTAACGGTTTCTGGTATATGATCTCCAGAGAATAATCAAGCGAATATTATCAGAAATTAATAAGTGCAGGACTTGCAGATAAATATCCGGGACATGAATTATTAGGGTCAGAACAGAAATTTCAATGTACATTTGAGTCGAAGACAATCAACTACTGTCGGAGAACCACGAAATGACCATTCAAATAACAAGTAGTATTACGAACAGTATGAAATCCCTATAGTAAAATTATTATGGCGTACTCCCTACGTAGATACTTGTTAAAAGCCCAGACACGTGTTTCGCCGATATTCTGCCGCTGCGTGACACAGATGCGAGGGGTTCGGCTCTTCAGTAGGAACCCCAGCGTTCTCTAGCGGTTTCTGGTAAATGAACTCCAGAGAATAATCAAGCGAATATTATCAGTAATTAAAAATTGCAGGACTTGCAGATTAATATCCAGGACATGAATTTTTAGGGTCAGAACGGAAATTTCAATGTACATTTGAGTCGAAGAAAATCAACTACTGTGGGAGAACCACGAAATGACCATTCAACAAACAAGTAGTACTACGAGCAGAATGAAATCCTTATAGTAAAATTATTATGGCGTACTCCCTACGTAGATAATTGTTAAAAGCCCAGACACGTGTTTCGCCGATATTCTGCCGCTGCGTGACACAGATGCGAGGGGTTCGGCTCTTCAGTGGGACCCCCAGCGTTCTCTAGCTGATTCTGCTATATGAACTCCAGAGAATAATCAAGCGAATAATTTCAGAAATTAATCAGTGCAGGACTTGGAGTTAAATATCCCGGACATGACTTTTTATGGTCAGAACAGAAATTTCAAGGAACATTTGAGTCGAAGTCAATCACCTACTGTGGAATAAACACGCAATTCCCATTCTACAAACAAGTAGTACTACGAGCAGTATCAAATCCATATTGTAAATGAATTATACCGTACTCCCGACGTAGATACTTGCTAAAAGCTGAGACACGTGTATCGCAGATATTCTGCCGCTGCGTTACACAGCTGCGAGGGGTTCGTCACTTCAGTGCGAACCTTAGATTTCTGGTTTATGAACTCCAGATAATAATCAAGCGAAAAATATCAGGACATGTACTTAGTGTCAGAATTAGCATTAAGTGCTTCGTCCACAGTTGTTGAATGAATTCTACTCAAATTTTCATTGAAATTTAGGTTCTGACCCTAAAAAGTCATGTCCCGGAGATTTAAGTCCATGTCCTGCACTGATTAATTTCTGAAATTAATCGCTTGATTTTTCTCTGGATTTCCTATACCACAAACCGCAAGAGAACACTGAAAGTCCCATTGAAGAGCCGAACCACACGCAGCTGTGTCACGCATCGGCAGAATATCGGCAAAACACGTGTCTGGGCCTTAAGCAATTATCTACGTATGGGGTACGGTATAATACCTATACAACATGGATTTCATCCTGATCGTAGTACTACTTACATGTAGAATGGGCATTACGTGGTTAATTCACAGCACCTAATCGAATTCGACTCAAATGTTCATTGAAAATTCGGTTCAGACGCAAAAAGTCATGTTCCGGATATTTAACTCCAAGTCGTGCACTGACTAATTTCTGAAATTCTTCGCTCGATAATTCACTGGATGTCATACACCATAAAGAGCTGGAGAAAGCTGGGGGTCACGCTGAAGATACGAACCCCTCGGAGCTGTGAAACTCAGCGGCAGAATATCGGCGAAAATCGTGTCCGGGCTTTTAGCAAGTATCTACGTAGGGAGTACGGTATAATAAATTTAATACATGGATTTCATGCTGCTCGTAATAGTACTTGCTTTTAGAATGGGCATTACGTTGTTATTCCACAGTAGTTGATTGACTTAGACTCCAATGTACATTGAAATTTCGGTTGAGACAATAAAACGTCATGCCCCCGCCATTTACCTCCAAGTCCTGCACAGATTAATTTCCGAAACTATTCGCTGGATTATTCTCTAGAGTTCATGTACCAGAAACCGCTAGATAACACTGGGGGTCCCACTGAATAGCCGAAACCCTCGCAGCTGTATCACGCAGCGGCAGAATATCGGCGAAACACGTGTCTGGGCTTTTAGCAAGTATCTACGTCGGGAGTGCGGTATAATAACTTAAATCTATGGATTTTATTCTCCTCGTAGTACTACTTGTTTGTAGAACGTGCATTACGTGGTTATTCCACAGTTGATTGTCTTCGACTCAAATATTATTGAAATTTCGGTTCTGACCCTAAAAAGTCATGTGCCGGAGATTTAACTCCAAATCCTGCACT